TATTGCCAAGCTCCTAGTTCAGGAATCTAAGAATTACATCTACAGTTGCTGTGCTGTTGTGTACTGGGAGCCAATTTTGTCTTTATTGTAAAGGATTAAGGGATTGGCTAGGTCAATTTTCCTAGTGAAGGAGGATTATCTGGCAGTATCTTCTTCATGGTTTTTGATTGGGATCTGAAGATGATACCCCTTTAAAAAGCACTGTTCTTTGTCAGTCATTAGCTGTCAGTTGAAAGAAAAAGCTTCATTATTGAAGCGGATGCAAATTTTTAAATCCATGGTAGTCAAACGTGGAAAATATTTCATTTAGTCCACTGCCTCCCTGAGGTCTGTTTTGTGCTCCTGGGACAGTGATGGACTTGATGAATAATAGAATGGATGATCACAAAGGAACAATAGGAAGTTTCATGTCGTGAAGTTAGAAATTCTTTTGATTTTGTTTTCTACACTACTGGGGATTTTACCTTATTCTTCTGTGATCTTGGCATGACATATGAATTTCTATTATATTACTGCCCATGCCAATGGTACATGGATTGTAAATGTAGGTGACCTTATGGGTGATGCTCAGCACCCATACTTTCCATTGTATTAATTATATTAATTATATTAATTATAATACAATGGAAAGTATATAAGATCTTACTTTCAAAAATAAGAACCAAACATATTTCCTAAGGAAGAAGATTCTTTCCTGTATCTTTCTAAAATGCTTTGCTGGACAGTTGGATGTTGGAGGGCTGCCTTCTGCTTGCTGAAAAGATTTTGGCTTCAGAGAAAACAGAGTCTTTTAGGCAATTCGTATTGCTAACTCAATTCCCCAGAAAATTTGGCTGTCAGCGGTTGCTTACCAGTACTGCCTGAAGCGTCTACCTTGGGAAACAATACCAAGCCTTCATTTCTCTTTCTGGTTACTCCTTGATTTTATTTAGTAATTGGGAAATGTTTCCCTTCCATTTATGGCAGGACTTCATAAGTTAGAGAGAAGAAGTTTCTACATTAGATGCATTAAAAATAGTAAAACTGTACAGATCTGTATTCTACTGCAAGTATTTGTCCAATTCCCATGCCTGAATAGGCTGCAAAGTTTCATCTGCAAAAATGTCAAGAAAATCGATAACTAACACTGGCTTTCTTAAAAATTTCAACTCCTTGCATTTTTAAAAGCACTATAAGTGTATTCCTTTCTCCTCATCTACTAGTCATTTCAACTTGTTCTTGCGATTCCATTTCATCCCATTTTTTCTGTGCTGCAATAGATTTTTCTATTCTTTTTTCACTTCATCTGTTTTCTTACCAACTCTCTCCACTGTCTTGCTCTTTAGTATCTTTTCTCACTCAAATTTCTCATGTTTGCGCTCTCTTGGTAATTTTCTTTTCCTTTTGTTTTTTTTTCCTTGAGATTTTTGTCTATTTTTGTTTGTTTTTGCCTTTCCCTAAAAATCCTTATTTGGTGTTGAGTGTTGCAAATTGCAATTGTTTTCTGCTCTGCCTCGTAGCGGTGGGCAGTATTGATCAAAGGAACAGAGGATGAGAAGACTATATGCAGCATTTAGTGCTGGTTTATTATGAGATGGTTTTGATTTTGTATCTGTAACGGCATATTAGAAGCTGTATTTCCATGCTGGGACTTCCCAGTTCTGTAGCTCTGTAGTGAATAAAAGAAGAAGCAGCAGCACTAGATGCCTAGTATCAAAGTAGAGGACAGTCAAGCAGCCCAGAGCTGAGATAGGACTGAGGGAAGCTGATCCTGATGCTGGATTTCTCCCGTCATATTCATGCGGGCTGCCTCGAAATCTTTGCTCACCCAAGCAAAATTAGCCCCCATGCCTGCAGATTGTGAAATGGCTGGTGGATCTGGAGCTCGCGGGGGATACGTGAGGGAGAGGAGGAGGAAGATGATAGCGTGCAGCCACTTCCTGAGCCTTAATGATAGACCTCCGTTTGAATGAAGGTTGTGTGGGCTTGGTGGCTTCCTTGCTGCTTTCCTTTCCTTGGGAAAATAATTGTTGTGATAGAAGTGTGAATCAAGCCAGCAGTTCACAACTGTAGGCATACACAAGTATTTTCAGTCTAGAGCTATGTGTTATGTTTCTTTCCCTGCTGTAGTTTTCACCAGCTTATTAAGCAAACATGTCCGTTTCCTGCTTATTTCTCCTCCGTAACCAGATTGATCAAGGAAATAACATTAAAATCACACCCTTATCAGCTGTATTTATAGCATTTTACTTTGGAACAGGATATGAGTTGCTAAGTTGTGAAAAGTATGTTACAAATATACTAATGAATGTTGTAACTCTGTTGCCAGGATTAGGAATGATTTCTCTTTGGGCATTTAAAGAGCCTCTTTTTTTTTTTTTTTCTTTCTTTCTTTCTTTTTTGCCATTGCTGTTTCTTATAGGAGATTAGTATTCGCAACTGTCAAATTTGCCTGCCTATATTTAGATGTAGTAGAAGCTCTGCCATCTTCCCTTTTTGCAGAAATGTAACATGTCAGCTCTGCCTTATTTTGCACAGCAAATGCCAAAAGACGGATGCTTGCAGAGTGTGAATGAGGCTCATTCCAAAGCTACTTTACATATTGATTACTCAAATTGCCATTTAATTTGCTATATAGCAATACACAGTGCCTTAACTATTTCTCTGGCATTCTTATTGATTGCTGTAATTCTGCCTTACGTTATATGCATATATGGTGTCACTATTAAATATTTATGCGCTCATGAAATGTTAATATGTTGGGTTAATGTGAAACTCAACAAAACGCATTTGCCAGAAGCAAGAAGGAATGCTGATCTGAGTGCTGCTCTTCCCCTCCCCCTTACCCTTTCATTTTGCCTCTTCATTGATTTTTATTACCCGTGTTTCTCCACTGTATCTAAATCTGTGTCAAAGCAGCCCCCTGCTCCGGTATGCAGATTTTATGTTTTATTATGTGAGAGATAAAAAGCGTAATAATAAAACAAGAGGAGTGATCTCAGGGAGGTGTTGAGACACGGCATTACATTGCACTCGTGCTACTCTCTCATTGCTCTTGCATTTAGGTATGGAAATGTAGCATTATCCTCCATGAAAGACACTGAAGCAGGATGACTCATCCTGAATGCAAAGTCATATTCACATGTTCCTTGAAGGGTGGCTGCAGCAATGTAAAACAAAAATTGCAGGGGTGTTTCTTTGATTTGATACAGCTCTTATCCAGATATGACGGGGAACAATTAGATGTAATTTATCCCAAAACTTTTAGAAGGAAAATTGACTCCTCTAGGCAGAGTGGTGAACATGATACTGATACTGCCCTGTTGGAAAAGCCCAATACAGGTTGGTAAGGGTCAAATAGCTGTCAAATCCCTATTAGCTTCCTAAGAGTCTGTGGGAGGTCCAAGTGGTAAAATAAAATGACAGAGGATATTGAGCACTCTTCAAAAAACGAAAACAAGCAGTCACCCACTCTCATAACACAGAGGACGAGATTTTTTTTTTACAATCCTGGGTGACGGGTAGGGTCAGTAACAGCCTCCATTTGTGCAGTAGGACTAAAATAGGTCCTGCATGGCAAAGAGGCTTTGGTGTATTATATGAAGTGGGTTCTCACTCTTTTTCCACTCTCACCTTGAGCTGCTTCACAGAGAAGGTTTCTATGCACGTGAGAGTATGAATATGCAACATTTGCAGCTGAGATCTGGGGAGGGAGGGAAAGGCTTTGCTGGCATCCAGTCCTCTTCACCACCACCACTGTGTTTTGGGCTACGTTCTAGCCTTCGAGCCTTTTACAAATCCTGGTTTAGTGGGAATTCCAGGGTGTTTAGAAAGGAGCCTAGAATTTTCTATTTTACTGTTTTGGAAGCTTTCCTTGCCATAAAAGTTAAAGATTAAAAAAAAAAACGTGATGAAGATAGGAGCTGAGGAGAGAGGAGGAGTACAAAGTGGAGAGCAGTGTCTAAACATCTGTTTGTGAAGAAAATTTAGAGAATCTGTGAAGTTCTCTGATGCTTAGCAAAATCTTTTTACCTTTGAAGTACGTTTTCTTCCTCTCTTCCCCAGCCCCAAGGCTGGTAGAGCAGCTGTTTAGGATGTGTGTTGTGGTTCCTTTTTGAAGCTGGTGGGAAAGTGTGTTACGGCAAAGCCAATTCTTACTGCAAATCGGAGCTTTTCTTTTTTTCAGGCCCTATTTTGTGCTCTTTTCCTGTGAAGGCTCACAGCTTCAGGGAAAGCTGTAGTATTGTCATAACTCATGTTTTTCTCCTCCACAATGGAATATTTTATCTGTTTGCAGTGCCAGTGAAAGTTTTATCACAAATGCACCTGATACTGCAGAACTTCAGTGCAAAATTGTTCAAGAAATTCTTTTCCTCTGTTTAATTTGGAGTGTCACTTAACAGAGAACACAAAGGATCTTCCTGAGCTATTTTTGGAGCATTCGTGGTCTTGATGCAAGAATAATGGCTCACTGAAATGCTTTGCACGTAAGCATAAGTGTCTACCATAGTAGAGAAAGTGAGCACATCTTCTTTCCCTAGCTGTGGGCTTAAACTCTTGGACCTTTCCTGGAGCCTGAATCCATCTATGTTATTTTGTCTGAACCTTTTAAAAAGTTCCTTCTAGGGATGTGCTCATGCTTATAAATCATTAAATCCATTTCCCTTTAATCAGTGAATTTAAAATGAAGCATTTTCTTTCCCTTAGACTTCTACTTCAATTTCTCCAAGCAGAACAGTGACGTTGCATGGGAATGGCAAAGCTTCAGAGTCAGCCATGAAACAGCACTAATTCTGCACCCCTGACTGTCTCAGACATAGGGATGCATTTATTTTTTATTAATATTGGATTTTTTTTCCCCTTAGCTCTTTTCTGCCCTGTCGTTTAGCTGGGGGGTATGTTAATATTTATGAAAACAATCTTCACAAAGAGCATACCCTGTATATGCTGGACATGGAAGGCAGTACTTCAACTCACGTGTTCTTCAGACTGATTATTTTCCATTTTGATTCCTAATTCAGATTGTCCTGGAAAACAGTAGTCGAGAAGACAAGCATGAGTGCCCATTTGGCCGGAGTAGCATTGAGCTGACAAAGATGCTGTGTGAAATACTGAAAGTAGGAGAGCTACGTAAGTTGACTTGTTTATTTGACCTCTAAGAACCATAGAATGGTTCAATGATACCTGAAGTTTATTTCAAGGATTTTCCTCTGGGAATCATTTTTGAACATGGTTGTGTTAAACACCGACACTCAAAATGACTTTACCCTTTTTTCAGTGCTTCTTGCTAATTTGTGGGCATTCCAGGGATAAGGGTGGAAGAGGGGAAATGGCATTTGACCTTTGAATCTCTTCTGCGTGAAGCTGGACAGCTGCATCATTCCCTGAGAGATCAGTTCTTTTCACATTTGGGCGATCTGGTTATCTTCTCTGTGGGAGGGTTCATTTTCTCACCTTTCCAGAGGTTTGTACATAGGTAGGTTTCATGAGTATCACTGTCATTCGTAGTGGGATTACTCATCTAAACTGACACATTGCGTTTTCTATTAGATACCTGATATTTAGGTAGAGCTTTAGATATGCATATCAGTTACTCTAACAGAGCGATATAAAATACTGTATTTTAATACAAAGTAAACAAGCATTCTAAAAAGTTATCTTTGGCTTTGATTATAGTCACTCGACAAAACGTTAGATACTATCTGTTGACCATTTCCATATCATCATTAGCCTAGCGTGTCAGTGTTTAATTCTGTCAATATATCTGAACTTCAGTTACCTGTTGATAAATGTTTTGCATCCTGCTGCTGCCTGTTCTGGCAAGTTTCTTTTTCATATGGTACAAACAGGGGGCACAACTGAGACATTTTCTTCCCTTCTGCGACATCTTGTTTCCTTTTGAATTTTCTTGCTAATAAGGGTTTTCTTTTACCCTTAACCCGACATCCACAACAGCAAAACACAACAAAACGTAATGTGAAAAGAACAATTGCGAAAGGCAGCACGAAAGCTTAAAGGTGTCACTTCAGTTCTTGCTCCTGCTAATTCTGCAATGGACATCAAAAGCTCTGTTTTAAGTTTGATGTGTTTTTTACTACATCTAAAGCTTTTAAATCCGGTGTATTGGGAGACTTATTGACCAAAAGAAAAATCTTTCCCTGTGCAGTGAGCCAGTATAAAACCCCCTGCGTCACTTGTAGTTTCCAAATTGACGCTCAGTATTTGGCAGACCCGGCGGAATAGTATGGTATTTGCTTTTGAATACCATCCTAAGTAAACTAGAGTTATTAAGGAGTGCATTCAGTAGTTCTATAAATAGATAATTTAGGAACTATTTTAGATCTCTTCAAAAGTGAAGACAATGGTAATGTGGTATGTAAGGTTCAGACTATAGCAGACAGGTTTCTTCCTCAAAATAATCTTACTGCTGCAGTTGGTATCTAGTGCCAAGTCATCCATGATAAGTCTGTCTGAATTTTCCTGCCAATAAATGTAGGAGAGACATGTCCTCTCAAAGCCGTTAGACTGGTTAGATTAAGTGCTAAAGATTAGTTTCATTTTATTTTTACAAATACACAGAAAAATATCCAGAATTTAATGTACTGCTTTGTACATGGTGTTTTGGTATACATCCCACCAGTCCGTGGGACTTGCAGCGCGCTTTGCTTCTAACAGAGACGATTGATCTGGAGATTAACCGAGTGTTCTCCACCTTCTTTGCTGTGTCATGAGAAGTCATTCAATACAGAAACCTCTTTTTGTCATAGACATGTTTGTCCGTATGGAGAGGGCTATTAATATATAGGTGGTTTGCCACATATGGTATTGTTCCTTATGATTGCATCTAACTACTGGAGGTATTCACCTTTCGTGATTAACTCTTTCATTATCTGGTCCTTTTAAGCAGGGAGTGTGAAAAAAATAAAAGTTTTTTTTTTTTTAATCAGCTCAGTTATTTAGAGAAAATATGAAGGGAAAGATATTTTTGTTATCTTATTTTTAAAAAGAAAAGTAACTTTGTCTTTTTTTAAGTAGCTCTACAGTTTGAAAGTGTGGGTGTAAAAATGAAACTTAAAATTTTTGCAGAAAGAGCCCCCAGGTTGAGTGGAATTGCATTTTAATGTTCTAACTGCTCGGTGCTGCACGTTCCCAGCAGGCTTCTCATGGTGGTCTTTCATAGGCCTGTCAAGTCATATAGACAAAATTTGAACTGAGGAGAAGTGCATTGGTGCTTCTGTAGAGAGAAATTAACAGGTAGCACCACTGACTTCTGTGAAGTTGCACTAACTGCACCCACAGAGTGTCTGCCTGAGGTTGTGGAAGTAAGATTGCATCACAGGGTTATGTTCCCAGGGACGGAGCTAAGGTTACCTCTAATGCATCTTGATTCACCTGTTCAGCCTAGTATGTTTGCTTAGTGTTTTTGTCTTTGTGGAAATCTAATTGCCATTTACAAAGGCCAGAATAAAACACACATTTAAAATAATGTGCATCAAAATGATCTGTGATCAGCATCCAGGTAACACTTTGCATATGTTATATTGAGAAATGCAAATGAGAAGTGACGTCTTAGGAAAACGTGTGTAGCGGTTTATTCTTCACTTGAAAGCAGATACTGTAGTGCTGAATAAGATTGGACATCTTAAAAATCAGTTGCTACAGTGTAGGGCAAAGGTGTTCCTAATAGTTTGTATATATTTTTTTTTCAGAATGTGTGTTTTAGGCTGCCAGTGTTTCTTTAGAAATTCATAGCCAGTCGTTATTGTATTGGAACGTAAAACTTTTTTTTTAACAGTTTCTGAAGTGTATAATTTAAAAGCACAATAAATTACCTTTTGCTTATGAAATATTCAGCAGTAGAAACCTTCTTAAAGTGCAGAGTAGATAAAAGCTGCTAGACTGTCCATTATTTATGAAGAGCACTTTAATGCTGATTATATTCTCCTTGCTCCACTGTATTAAATACCTTCAGGCAGCAAGAAGACGTTTTTTCCATTTCTTCTTGATCCTTTCAAGCAGTGCATTCATCATGTAAGGACTTGCACGAGAAAGTGTTAAAGGCACCAGCCACCCCTCTAGCTTTGGTATTTCCCCAAATCCAAGTACTTGACTTCCCCAAATGCTCATGACTAGGAAATTAATGTCTTCTTCAGCAAAGCATTTAAGCACATGTTTAAATCTTGTGTAAGTAAAGAAAGCTCAAGTATAAGCTGCAAGCTCAGCATATGCCAAATACTGTACAGGGGTGGACCCTGGAAGTACAGGAGCTGAAAGCTTAAAGGTTGATGTAGTTTTTAAGTAACATGGGAATTGAAGTGAAACGTGCTGAAGTCTCTCCTTCAGTGGAATGTCTGAATCAGGGAAGAGTGGGCTATTTGGCTTAAATCTTTTAATCTCGCATTACTGTTACTGTTAAAAAGGCATTCGAGAGAGTGGCTTTACTGAGTGCTTGCCAAGACACTCATCTTGGCAAGCACTATGATAATTCTGATTTTTCCAGTGATAGTTTCTTATACGTGTTTTTACTTGTCCTCTGGTCCCTGTGTCTTGGAGCTGACATCGTACAGCGATCGCAGTCATCCTCCTCCTTCAGGGTAAGGCACTTTGCTGCATCAACGCCTGTATGCTGACTATGTGCACGAAGAACAGCTAAAATCAGGCCATTCCTATTTCCTCCTTACTACATATGAAGAGAAGATAGCCTCCATTTCTTCCCTGTTCTTCCTTGAAGCTTCAGTACATGGCACACATGCTCAGAAAGGAACACCCACTTAATAGACTCCTAGCTTTTCAGGGAGAATGATAGCATTGCAGATAAATAAAGAAATTGAAAACAATGTCCAAAAGGCTTTCCAGAATTGGACTTAATAAATTTAAGAGGAGATTTGGGGTTCCTTACAACCTAGCATTTGTCTTAGACAAGAGTTTGAGCTCAGCATTTTGCATAAGTAGCCCTGGTCCTCTCTGATCAGTGCCTACAACACCTCGTTTTCTGTACTTTGCTCAGCATGTGAGACTCTTCCTACCCTCGAACCTTGTGAAGCTCATTCCCATGAGAAGGTGATATTTGTCTCTATTACTTGATTTATGCAGGACTGGTACAGTTTCCCAGACTTGTTGCCTCGTTTCCATGCAGGTTCACCTGAAGCTTCAGCTGAAGCTGAGTCGTGAAGCCGGCAGGGAGGTGTATGTGTCGCTGATGGGTGAACAATAGATTGCAGCGGTGTGTACACGGGTGCCTTTTCAGTGCTTCCACTAGAATTACAGCGTAAAGATGTTTCATAAGCTAGTATAATTGCCTGCCTTAAGTTATTCTGTAGCTAAGGCATGTCAGACTTGGAGTATTTTTTGAGTGTGTTTGGAGTAAGGGACAGATGTTGAACTGCAAATTTTTGATTGTTTTGATGGGAGTTGTTTAGGAGCTTTTGCAAAAATCTGTGCTCAAGCTTTATGACAGACTGCAGGGGTTTATGCCACATGCCAGATATATAGCCCTAAAGCTTGTATTAGACAACTTTTTCACTGGGTTTTCTTGCTTCCTTTATGTGAGGTATTTAATTCTGTCTTGGGCTTTTGTTAGACTTGATCAGTTTGTAGGTTTTTTTTTTTTTCCTTGACAGAGACGATCTAAATGCCGGTATACTAAAATGCCCTTGATGCTGTTTGTACATGTTCCTGCTATAGATTTCTCATTGCAATTATTGCCGAAGTTGCAGACTTGAAATTGTCTACAAATTCTCACAATTGTCCCTTTATCACATAGAATGTGCTGGGTGTTTAGAAGGTATACAGTGATATTCATGGTTTTGCCTGCTGAGATAAAAGTAATCGAATCTCATGCTTCAAGGAGTAATCTGGTTGCTGCAAGGGTCAGGAAGCACTTTTTCGTCTTTGCACAATTTTTCCTCTGCGTTGCACAATCCTCAATGTGCAATTTAGTTTTTTTCCTGTTATTCTTTCCCTGAAAGCATATTGGTCACTGCAGGATCAGCACTCTGGATGTGAGGGCTTGCTTGGTTTGGCTTTCCTTTTGCTATAGAAAATCCAGTGTTTTTATATCTAAATGTCATGTTTTTAATTTTTTTCTCCTTACTTGAAGCCTAATTACCTTTCTGCCCTCCTCCTCCTCC